TATAAAAGAAAAATGATTATTTTAAGAAAGTTAATCGAATTCTCCTTGCTCTAGCTCTTTCCATTTTTTCTCTTTCAGTTTCTTCTTATTTTTCTTTCCGGAGGTTCGACCTTAGAGAAAAAGAATATATGTCAATTATCGCTGAACTATGCTCATGTTGGCTTTTGAGATATAATTATAACATATTGCTGTAAATAAATCCTACAAATTAAGTAGCAAATACACAATTATGATCTAGATCTGCCATATAGACAAAATAATTTAGATAAGAAACGATCCCTCAGTATAACATTTCTATAATCTTTTTGCTTTTCTAACTTGTTATATTTTAGATTTATTCTTACAATTAATAAATTGTAGTATCAAATCTTTGTCTTCAAGCTTGTACATCTCGACTTGAGATTTAGTGGCACATGTTCTCCAATACACTAGTTTGGACTTTCCCCATGTAATGTGAACAAAAGATGTAGTCACGATAATAAATGCAATATTGGGCTATAAAATGGGGTCTTTTCAATTTTCTCCATTCATCATGCTTACATAATATAATATTTTTCAAAATATGATCTTCCATGATATTTTTTTAAGAAAATTTTACTAAAATATAAAACAAATTAAGTTATGCATTCAAAATAAGAAAAGTTTGGTCTAACTCATTTATTAAACATAAAATGTCAATAAAATAAAATAATAATTAACCATCAACATGTTGAGATTGGTGGAGTCAAAACGACGTTGGAACGAGCTATGAACGAGTCGGGATCAAGCAGGGAAGCGTCGGGACGAAGCGGGAATGAAAACAGGTGAAGCGGCGCGTTGCAAGCTAGGGAGGTCGAGAGGAGGCAGTGCCGTAGCACTATAGATGGCGCTGAGACGCTGTCAATTTGGGCGCGGGCGGATTTTCGATCGTTTCGTATGTAGCACCATGACACTGTGTCGATGTTTATAAATACTGCATTTCGGATTTTAGGGTTTTTCAAACTGAAAAGGGGGTTTTAGCAGCCGATTTCAAAATGTTTTGGCAGCTAATTAGTGGTAGCGACTCGGGTGTTGGCATCACAGGTTGGGGAGATCAAGATCATCATTGTTGGAACCTCTAGGGGATATTATTGGGAAGAGTTATTGTAATTTAATCCTCAACACATTATTAGTGTATTACTCACATCTGAGTGAAAGACTAGGTAAACCAGTATAATTTTGTTGTGTTTTTTTCTTATATTTACAGTTTCTTCCTTATTTGCATATTGTGGTGTGTGTTTAATATTTACGTGGAAGAAAAAATTATTCAAGTTATTAATTTCCCAACACAACGTGTGTATATATATATATATATACTAACAATGAAATTCACACGAAACCTTGAAACTTTGAACTAAACGCCCTCTCGTTGAATAAAGAAATTTCAAACCTTCAATCCTCCAAGTTTTGCAATGTCATTTTCTGTTGAATCATCTATTTCAATAGCCAACGTCACTCATCACTTATTATGTACATATAAACAAAATGAAGTCTAAATTTTATTTTACTCATAAATTTTTTTATTTTATTTTGATCCCTAAACTTTTAAATATTATATTTTTGTGTTTCCATATTCTTTCGAAAACTATTTATCTTACGCTTTAATTTTTTAATCATTTTTAACCGAGGGAACCCAAATCTATTTAATTTGGAAACACATACTTAAAATTAACCTACTACATGTGCATGACATCAAACATTTATTCATGCGAATATATATTGATCAAATAAATCAAGTGTGTTTAGATGATTTTTGAAAAAAAAATATAAAAAAAATAGATATTGAATTTTATGAAGAATTATACTAGCTATGCCTATGGAGTGCTTCCTGTTCGAGCACTTTAAAAGAATTGTACTAATTTATGGCACAAATTAAAAATGGGTTTTATACCTGATATTTAAAAGATAAAATAAAATATTTATTACTATTTTAAAAATATTTATATATTTATAAATTTAGAGATAACATTGATTAATATTAATTTTTTTTTTTGAAGTAGATTAACATAAAGTTAAAATAAAGACAATTGACTTGGAAAAATGTGTGAGCGTGGAAAAAATAATTTCAAGTAACTTAGTCAAGACTAATCTAAATTAATATTTTGATGTCAAATACGTACGTTAAAGGACATATTTTTATAAAATTATCTTTGTTTGAATACTAACACTTGACCTTATTATAATATTGCATTGGTAATGAAATCTCTTTACTGAACTTCTAGTTTTTATTTTTTAGTTCAGCGGACTACAAAATTTTGAAACTTTCATTATTTTAGACGATCATAATATATTTTAACCAATTTAAACTATATTCAAGTTTATAGTTAATTTCAAATTAGATTTATTTAAACTATAACTGAAATTATATTTTTCATGAAAATAATCCTCAGTTAATTATACCATGTAACCCTTTTTGTTTTCCAATCCTCCGACCTCACTTTGAATCTTTGAAAATAAAATTGGTCCAAACTAATTTATCTAATAAAAAAAATAGTTTTATTAATTGGAGAGGATTATAATTCTACCATTGACTTAGAGATATATACGCCTAAACCAATCTCCATCCTCCAAAAAAATTTGGACAAAAATGGTTGAGGCTATGAATGCTCACGGGATTTTTTATAAGAAATTTTGTTGTCGTTATCAAATCTGATTTTTTTAAGTAAATAATAATAATAATAATTAATAATTTTATAGGTCAAGTAAATATGGATATTTCTATAATGAACACATGTATGCATCTATTAGGAATGCAAAGAAAAAAAAAATCCATCAAATACTCAGCATGACATGTACTTTTTCCCTCGAAGCTAGAGGGTTGATGCTTCATATCTTCAATTTGTTGTACTAATAGAAAGTGTGATATTTTTTTATTATCTTTACAACATGTGGGATGAAGATTCGAACCTCTGATTTTTTTGTTGATAAATATATGACTTTAGCCCGTTATGTTGTTTTCTTAGGTTCATACATCAGCAATACACTACAAGAAAATAGGTTTGATTCTCAAGGACGTCGAAAAAATATCATTGAAGATCAGTTTGAGTCGCTAAAAGTACCAGCGACGGTATCGCACGAGTCGTTAATTTGTCGCTAAAACCGCATCGTTTTTAGTTTTTGTGACATAAGCGATTTCCACATCACTAAAACACTTATCAACGACACCTTCCCTACGTCGCACATACGCCAGGTGGCTAATAATGTTATCCATAGAGTAATTTGATTTTGAGTTGTTAGGTTTTAGTTGTTGTTTCATTTTTTTTCCTCAAATGTAAACGCTAAGACTTTCAATTTAGAAATGAACTTGGATTTCCAAGTTTAGATTATACATATACGTGAGGATGTAATCGATCGTGTGAATCTTCCACATGCACGTGTGAATGATCCAAAAAACAAGAAGACCAACAACTTGCATTGCAAATTTGAATTATACATGTGGAATTTTGGTCCCAATTTGAATGTTTCAAGATGTTGTTTTCCTGAAAATATTTTCTTTTATGCTATTAAAAATTAAAAAAAGAACAAAATCCTTTATGTCTAAATTTCAAAAATATTAAAAAGTTTTAATTAAATATATTTGAATGTTTTTTTTTTCTAAATTTAGTCTCTATTATTTAAAAAATAGTTGAGAAAGTCCTTATGTTTTAACATTTTCTAATTTAGATCATCACTGTCAGTGAATATTAAAATTGGCCAATAATAAAACACAAGGGACTAAGTTAAAACTTTTTAAATAATAGAGATAGCTAAATAGAAAGAAAAGTAAGAAAAAATAAAATAAAATAACCTTAACGTTGGAGACTATATATTTTAACTTAAAAAAAAGATCATAGTTTACTCATTTCAACTTGTCAAGCTTTGATACCATATCGAGTTTTATGGTTACCTCTCAAGATCAATAGGCAAATGAGAGGAACAACCTCATATATCTTATAAATCTTGTTATGTCCCTTAGTATTTTTCGACGTGGGACATCCTTAACCTATTGCCTCAAGATGATAATTTTTTTGGATTCACCAATATTGACGAGATATTATTGTAGATAATTTATCTCAATTTTTGCGTGTCATCCTCTCGTACAAGGACCATGCTAATCTTCTCTCGTTCCAATTTCATGGGAGGTCCCCTATTATCAAAACTTATCCAAATAAGACCTTACAGTATGCCTTGTTTTCTATGTTTAAACGTCTATAGGCTATATCCAATTTTGAAAATTCTCCAATATCTTTTCAAAACCCTTTTCTTATAAAATTTCCAAACAGGAAAATTCTATACCCAATAATGGTAATGGAGACCCCCTCAAGATTTACATAGCACAACGTTTCTTCATAAGAAGTATAATAAACAATTAGATCTAATACTAGATTATGAAATCTTAATTAAGTTCAATTTGTTATTTTGGGCTAATTTATTCGTAATCCCCTTTAATGGCAAACTCTCTGTCCTTGCGAATATGGACAATAATAAGGAACATGTTGATTAACTACAGACAATAAATCCAAAACTTCTTTTAAGTATATATTATAACATCATCTTATTTAGAACACCCAGGGACTCGTTTGGTAACGTTCTTATTCCTGTTCTTGTTTCTTTATTTTTAATGAAGAAAAATGTATTTCATGGTTCCAACTTCCAAAAGTCAAATATGATAAAATAATCTTTTTTAAGAAAATGTTTAGATTTATTTAAAAAATTGTAAACGAGAAACAAGAAACGGGAACGTTACCAAACGAGGCCTAAATTATAATTTTTTCTCACTTTTTTATCAAGTAATTGACTTAGCCAATTCATTTTCGAAAAAATGACAAAATGAACTTACTCAATCCATTACAAATAATTTCGTGCTTTGATTTTTCTTTGTTCAATATTTTAACGCTGAAGCTTTGACATTGTCTTTTTTTT